TTCTGCAAAGACTTCAGTTGCCTGAAAGTTGGTTGTACTAGTTAATCTAGCTCTCAAAAGTTAAACAAGGTGATCTCAGGCAATTTAAAATCAATGAGTTTCAAAAGCAAACAGAAGTAAATGGCAACTTTGTGCTGCGAGCGCTTGTGATGTAGTGTGGGTGCTCAGAAGGAAGCTGTTGAAGTGGTGCCTTTCTGGATGTTTCTCCCATGTCTAATATTAAAGAGATTTCATGTGTCATTTGTAGAAATGAAGGATTCTGTGAATTTTAAAGCTATTTCTTGCTTAGAGTGAAAGAATTCTTTTTTTTTTTTGTTATCTTTAACATTATGATAATTGCTTCCACATTTTTGGTTTGTAAAATGTTGTCTGCTCTTAGTCTTAGATCATTCTGTACCCCTGTCAGTTTTTAACTGGAAACATTATTAAACTGATACGGTTGTTTGGACCAGCTTCAGACCATATAACATGATGTTGCAGGCCACATTTTTGGTAACTGCTGCTCTGAGAGATGGCATTCTAGTTGTTCATCAATATTAAAAAAAAATCCAGAATAAATGCACACTGTTTCTCATTCATTTATGTTTTATTTGTGCATTTCAGTACAATGCTGTGACACCGACTGAGACAGTCCAGGCTAAAGGCAGAATTGCCTGTCTGAGAGCTGCTGAAATTGCATTATAATACTTTTGAGTCACTTTTGTCTTTTTTTAAACATTAACTTCCCCATTTTTATTCAAATATTTCCAAGGACTTGAAACGTTCGTTACCAGTTGGACTTGGACTTTCTGAAACCAAAATAACATCTCATGACTTTGACAGCACCAAAGAGGGAGTCGTTGAAGCAGGACCATTTCCAGGTAAAGGTAACTGCTTTTTTGTCTTTATTTCTTGATTTAAAATCTTTAGGCAGATTTTCATATGGTCAGGAATACAATGTTCTGTAGCTGCTTTCAGCACTTTGGTGTAAAGGTACACATTGAGATGTGCATTAGTGACAACCTGTTTATCTTCTCTGGTAGCGGGGTTGTTAAAATAGAGAATATATGCTACACTTGTAGTATCTGTCAGGGGACTAGTGGAAACTACTTAGTGTTAAATTGGTTTGCATTTATAGGAAGGGAAGTTCTTGAGCACCTTGAAGTGGTGTCAGACTGAAGAATCTTACTATTGCATTGCACTGAAGTTTTCTTTAAATGTTGCAGGTATTGTCCTGATTTGAAACATAACTGGAGAGTTATTTATTTCTTGATACACAGTTCACTTACCTGGAACAGATCAATGAGTGGAATTCTTCTTTGTTGCCCCTGAGACTTGTCTCTCCTTTTTTTATTATAGTGCGTATATTACTTTACTATATTGTTATTAGGAGTGATAATGCTTTGGGTCTCTTCCAGGCACTACCTAATGAAAAAGTATCTGTTCTTATATTTTCTCAGCACAGAGTTGTGGTTGTTTACAGCAGAAAGATTTTACGTAATTAATATTTAATTCACTATGCAAGTATTAATGTATGTTTTAGAGAATCTAAGCTAGTATTAAATAATGAGAAATACAAAGTGATAAACAAGCCAGTAATGTCAGTGTTTCCCATCTGTCTAAAAACAATGGATTGCCACGATATAGTACGTGAAAGTGGTATTTTAATGAATTATGTCACTTTGACAATTTCTGAATTTGAGAGGTTTGACATGATCTCAAATGAGCAGCTGTGAAAATAAGTCTCTTTGTAAATTAAATCTATGACTACATTTTGCTTCATTTCCTGTTTGGTAAAATGTTGTGCTTTTGAAAACAGTGATTTACATGCTGTACTTTACATATATTACAAAGTGAATGCTGTGGTTTCTCAAGTCTTTGAAATTAGCAAAATATTTAGCTAAAAACTGGGCAGATGGCAAACTGCTCACCATTCTTGCGTTTTTGTATTCTATTAGTGGGATAACTGTTGCAGCTGTTAAGTGCATTAGCCTGTAAGGGAAAAAGTGTCTAAGATGTGTTTCAAGCTACACTAATATGTTTGAAATCCAAATGTTCTGTAGTAAGTTACATGCACCAATGATGGGCTTTGAACATTTAATTTTTAAACACTTTAGATATCACAGTTTTCCTCCAAGGATATTTTCTTCAGATTTTTCCTAATGCTCTAACCCAATCAGAGAGAGAGAGGGAGAAATGGTAGAAACTAAGGCTTCTTATAAACGTATGGACAAAAGTAGAATGATTGCCCTATTTCTAAAAATTATGTTTGCATTCAAAAATGAAGCCCTAATAAGGACACTCAAAGTAGATAATACTGGAGGGGAAGGGCTTTTAGGATTTGGGGGATGTTGAATGATGAAGCATGCATAAGGCTGCATTAATACTCTGTCAAATGATAAGGATTTTTTAAACTGCTTGTCTTAGCTTGCTTGCTGAAGTGATTCAGTCTTTAGGCCTTTAGCAGGGTCTTGCAGTCAAACTTTTATGCCTGGATGAATCCAGTTGCAGCTCTTATGCAGTGTATCACTACAGAAGGACACAGCAAGTGAGCTATCTTTCAATCTCGTCTTCTCTGTGCAGTTGGGTCCAAATCATTGGATTAATTGTAGCCCATGTTAGTAGTGCTCTATAGTATGTTTAAAAGGCAAAAGCTGATTGTTGATTCAATTACTTTGAGTGATATTTTTGGTGTTACTGATTAGCAGTTTTAACAAAATCCAGTTAAGTTTAGGTTTGATTTTCCTTTTCCTCCAGCACACTGTTAGCCCTGAAGTATCTTGGAATTTCTCGGCAAAAGCAATAAAAGCTCCCCTACAGTTTGATGATTGCTCATCACTACAGAGAAGAAGCTAGTTTATTTGTTTGGTTTTTAAATCCTAAAAACATCGTAAGAATGTCACTTCACATTTATGTGATATTTGAAAGAGTTGCAAAGCTCTGAAAAGCATAATCCTAAAACAGCTTAGAGAACACACATGGCACAGGTCATTTAAAGTTGGGTTTGCTTTTTTTAAAGAGAACAAGCAAGTGCTGTGAAATCTTTCTTTTGGGAAGGAGATTACACACCTTAACAGCTAATGGCTTGTATGATCTTCAGGATAGCTTATTGCTGCGTGGTTACACAGACTTAGGAGCAGATGTTAATCAAGTATATCTGAAATTGGCACAGATTTCAGAGTTTACTTCACCTCTTAATGCTGTGAGTACCATTCAGTGACAGTGCAGAGTGAAATCTACCTAGACTTGAAAAAGGAGGTTTCAGCTGTGGAAGCTGTATATAACAATCTTTCGTGGAATTTTCTGTTGATAGTGTATACTTTACTGATGAAGCTGTCAGTTGTATTTTGATTACTCTTAGCAAAAAAAACAAAAAAAGTTTGGCATCATGACCTAGAGAAAAAGATTAAATCATGAAAACTTGGAGTAGTTCGCATGAACAGCTGCACCTCTTGAAAAGCACTTCCATCAGAAATTCCAGCAACTTTTCCGTGAATGCTTCTATTTAGTGTGTTGCTGAAGCAAATGTTTCTTTGTTTTGAAAAAAAGCCCTGTCTGTGTAAAAGTGCACATTACCTTCTAAGGGAAGATGATGGATTTTCATGGTTAAATATGTCCCCTTTTCAGGTTCCTCAGCATCACCCAAATCATCTATTATATCTCCTAGCAGTGCAGCAGCTAGCAGACTGGCTGGACAAGGTTGTGATTTAATTATTCCCACAGGTATCATAGCACTGAATGGATAACGCCCTTGTCTCTGCTGACACTGTACTAACTCCTCCATGTCCCTAAGAATTTGATTTGCTGTTAGCTGGAAATCCGACTTCTGGGATTTTTTGGTGGCTCTCATTCCTGGCTTTTAACAGTTCACAAAGTAACCTCTGCTTTCCTTTCTGTATGCTGCTTTTTGCTCTATAAAATTTTAAAAATAATACCAAGTATTAATAATAACAAACAGTAGCTAAAATGGGAGTAACCAAAATCTTTTATTTAGGTTAAAGCTGAAACTTTTGGCATTTTGTGCCCAAATGATCACATATTCCAGTAGCATAGAGTATGAGGTGGCCATTAGGAATTCACAACACCCAAACTAGGCTTTGCCACTTGACTCATTTTGTGCCTATGGGCAAATTACTTAACATCTTTGTCTGTTTCCTCCTATATAAAAGGAGAAAACCTATTCAGTTACCTCATAAGGGTGTTGAGAGGATTAATTACTTAAAGTTTGCACAGCATTTTGAAGACGTAAAGAACATAGTAGAGCTTGATGCTAAAGCAGTATCTTGAGGCATCTGTATAGACTTTTTTCCAAACTCTTATTTACATAAATAACCTGGCAAGGCTAAGGTGATTCTAAGTAGCAGTAGGGATTAGAGGCAGGAGTAGTAAAAATTGTACATGAATAAATAAAAATGTTGCTTAAAAAGTGGTAGTGCTTTGCAGTTCTTAGTATTTAGGACACTAAGAAATATTTTTGCAAAATTAAAACTTAGGATCCATGTGATATCCCATACTACCTTGAAAATACTAAGTATTGGCACGTAGTAAGGATGACGTTCATTGGAAAAGATAAAAAAAATCTGGTTTGAAATTTATTAGTTGTGCTCTGTGACAACAGTTTTTATATGCTGATAATTTTCACTTAATGGTCTGCAGGTTGTAAACAGGCTTTTACATTGGCTAAATCCAAGAGGGTGTTCAACTGTTGGAATTTTAAAACATAGCTTAAGTAATAAACATGTCTCAAAAGCTGTTTTAAGGTTGGTTAGAAAAACTCCGTGCTTTCAGGTAAGCTTTATTCAGCCTATTACTACATGGAATACTGAGATATATACACGCTTTATATCACTATTACAATAATTCTTTCTTTCTGGAATTGATTTTGAAAATCTGCATATTCATCTTAAGTTCTTACTGTCACCTTGCTCTGTTTTTGCATGTGCAATTACGCAAATCTCCTGTACCTGCGGTTAATCCCCTAAAACAAAAAAACCCCAAGGCCTTGAAGATTTGCTTTGTGTCTGACATAGGGGGCAGAGCTCAGCAGAAGAGTGGACCTGTTGTATTAGCAGATGAAGTAAAGAATCCAGCAATGGAGAAATTGGAATTGGTGAGAAAGTGGAGCCTAAACACTTACAAGGTTTGCAGACATACATTTCTCTCTGTGTGTATGTATGTATTCTAGAAGGGAGTTTGCTACTAGATTGGACTAAAGCTTCCAAAGTATTGAACTACTGTATGAAAGTAATCTGTTGTTGCAGTGAGCATAAGCAAAAATGGATAGGGAAGCCTTAGGTTTCTTCCAAATGTAGTGTTCTTTGTAAGCCTCTTTAAATCCCTGGTTTTAAGTGGAAAATCTTTCATAGGTATTATTGATTTAACAAGGTAAAGAATGTTCCATTTCTAATGTCCCCTTCAACGTACAAAATGTACAGATTTCAGCACTCATGCTTGTAATTAAATGTTTGCTATCTTTGAGTTCATTGCTGATATAATAAAATGAAAGAGTCAGGCCCATCTACAAGTTCCATACTTGTTAATCTCTATTCTGATGTTTTTGTTCCATCTTGGCCGATTGTTTTTTCTTAGTGTTGGAATTGTTGCTTTGATTCATGTGTGGTTTACTCTTTTATGGTGCTTCTTTCGGATCAATTGGGATTTGATGAAATTGAAATAATAACAAAAGAATAAAGAAAAGGTGCTTGAAGCGCACCAGTTTGCCAGAAGTGACTCTCATTAAAAAGCCATACGGTAAGGGACAATTGTCAGGGAATACGTTACTATCAGGAGTTTTAAACAAAAGACCAGTTTTGAAAAATATCTTTTTGTTATGCCTGCAACTTAAATGACAGAGATGTGGACAGGTTGGTTGTTCATTGGTGGGATTTATATCAAAGCATGAAGAAATTTAAGAATCTCCCTTGTAAAATGCAGGTCTGAATCCCTCCAGTGTTCTTAAGTCCAGATAAGGACTTCCTCCCCAGTGAGGATGGGAA